GGGGAGGAAGCATTTAAGAACTAGAGGAAAGTTATATGTTTCATGGTTGCTACCCTGCACCCTGACTGGCTCATCTCTTCCCCACAACCCTGCAGTAAGGGGGTGTCTAGTTGCCTACGGATGGGCTTTGAGTCTCCACTCTGCACTCACCCACCTTCACAATGATATGATTTTTTTGTTCTTTGCTGCTTGATACCTTATCCCTTCAACAGCTCATGGTCACACAGGCTGGTGTGCTTCTTCCATGCATGTCTACAATTTTTACTGTAGAGTTACGATGAGTGTGAGTGTAAAAGATGCTGATTCCACAGTGCTTCCATCAGTCCAACTCCCTGGCTCACAGCGTTGGGGTATTTGTCAAGCAGCTCAGAAGGTTCCCATCTTCTGGAATGTTGGCCCTGTAGGTTATTTCGAGTTACAAACATTGCTGTTCACTGCTGTGCATTTGACTCAGAATTCATGATGACTCTGGCGATGGCACCCTCATGCTGCACAGTATAAAGACCCACAGGCTTTCACTGGCTGATTTTGGGCAGTAGAGAGCCAGGTCTATTTTCCTACTCTTAGTCTGGAAGCATTCATGGAACCAGCTCATCGTCACAGCAAGACACCCATCCCTACTGGCAGGTGGTGGCTTCTCAGGAGGTACACTGACCAGAAATCCATCCTGGTTCTCCAGCATGGAAGGCGAACCACCACTGGACCAAGAAGAGGCACCAAATATCCCTAAGAAGGGAGGTGGATGGTCTTCTAGGAAGGCAGAAAGCCCTGGTGGCATTATGGTTACACATTGGGTTGCTCACCACAAGGTCAGAAGTTTGAAACCACCAGTCAGCTCTGTAGGAGAAAGATGGGGCTTCCTTGTCCAGTCCAGAGTTACAGCCTCGGAAACTCACAAGGGCAGGTCTGCCCTGTCCTATAGGCTCACAATGAGTTGGAATCGACTGGATGGCAGTGCCTTTCATGTTCTGTCCCTGAGGATGAAGTGAAACCCATTAAACAGGTGTCCTGGAGAAAGAGGGCTTTGTCCTGGCTGGACTTCTGGTCCAGAGGTACCTTCAGAAGCAAAGACTAATGCTGTCATCTAGAGATGGGAGAGAAGTGAAGGAAGTTGCAATGCATTGAGACCCTCGGGCCCAGGAGAGCTTGACAAGCCACATATGAGAAAAGAGGCTTAAGTCTAGAAGGGTTTATTCATGCTTTGATGCTGGTGTCCATGTTTGTTTGGGAAGTTGGAGAGAAGATGGCTGGCTTCTCAGCAAAACACTTGTTTAAAAACACATTATGTTCTAAAAGCGCTATCTAGCAGCGCTGGCAACAGCCCTGATGAACAAGTACACATCCAGACAGCGCTAGGCCCTGGGGTCCCTCCTACTCAGGCAATTGGAGGCTTTCCGTCACCCCGAGGTCTCCCCATTGCCTAAATATTTATAAGTTGATAGGAGCCAACACACATATGCTGTCTGTTACCAAATGAACAGCTTAGAAAAGCATCCACTTGGCCAATGCCAGCGATGCGCTTGTGCATGGGTTTCTCTTTTTGACAAGATCAGAAACCTGCCTTTCACAATCGTTTGACTCATAAAGAAGTCACAGGAAGCAGGGATGTTTTATATAGCAAGTTAGCGTTTCCCACTCAGATCCCTCCAGCCAGAGCCTTTACCAACAGCTTCCTCACCTGACAAAGGCGCCCCATCACCTTCCAGCAGGAACAGATGGGGGCCACAGGATCCTGTCCACCACCCCATCCCACCTCGTAAAAATGTGTTTTCCAGAAACTAATAAGAATTGATCCGTAAGACAATAGTGGTCATCTCTACGGGAACGCCGCGGGCTAACACACCGAAAAGCAAACCGTAGGAAAACCAGGTCCACGCACGCCGTTCTCAGCCACCAAAACGTGTGTCTGCGCCTTCAGATTTTAGGCAGCGCCGAGTTCTAAATCTGTCTTCGTTTATTAAAAATCCAATCGATATGAATATACGTTCTCCGTTCTCGTGGCGCTGAGCGTTCTCGCCCAGGTGGTGGGCACGTACGTGAATGTGTTTGTGATTATTTTAAGACACGGCTGCAACGAAGGTGGCATCTTCTTTTTCTTTTTTGGCTTTCCCCTTCTGAAGCTCTTCTCCCCACTCACCCACCCCCTCCCCAAGACGGCCCGATGGACGCCCACTCCACCCTCTGCCACCAAACGTGGATCCTGCCAGCGATCGGAACCACAGCACCTGGGGTCCCCGGCTCTGGGGCAAGCCTCGTCTTAGGCAGCCACCCCGGCGCAGCCCACAGCTCCGCCGGCGGCGCGGAGACCGAGCGCTTTCCTCCTGGAGGCTGCAGGAGGACAATAGCTCGTCCAGCCCCAGCGACCGCCCGGGACCCGGGTCGGCGCGGCGCCGGGGCTGGCGGGGCCGAGGCTGAGCGACTCCTCCTAGAGGTGGTTATGTGCAGGAGCATCCCTTCTCCCCGCTCCCTCCTCCTCCTCCCCCCCTGCTCTCCGCGCGGCCCGAGGAGCCGCCGCTTGCCGCCATTGACACGCACGGAGAGAGCGCAAAGAAAGGCAAAGAGTCCTGCCGGGCACCGGCGCCGCGCGGGCCGAACCTGCGCCAGGGGAGGGGCGCGCCGAGGGCACGGCGGCCCGGAGCAGGCGGCGCAGCACCAGGTGAGCCCGCCATGGCCATGGCCGTGGCATTATTGTTTCGGGGGCTCCGGGGTCTGCAAACAAAACGCGCCGCTGGGGCCGGAGAAACCACCTCTGCTCTTCCCCGCAGCCCCCGCGGGCGCGACCCCGCAAACCGATCCCCGCAGCCCCCCGCGAAAAAGAAAAAGATGAATCAATCAAACTGCCCAACTTGCTTCCTCGGGAGAGAATGGGGGGGGTCGCTAACGGAGCAGGAACGTT